GATAGACTACATACATACATATATATATATTTATATATTTATATATTTATATATTTATATTTGTAATATACACATATTTTATACAATTATACAACCCGGTATTTATACAAAAACGATGTAGCTCGTTTCGACCTGTTTAATAGCTCAAATAAAATCCAATTGATGTTCCTCTTTTTTCTTTTGTTTCTTTGTTTGCTTGTGAGTAATTTTCTCGCAGTATCTGAAGTTGTGTAATCTTTTAACCTGCATAAAAAATGTGGGGATAAGATGTACTGATGTTTTGGAGAGAGAGTGAGTTTCTTGATTGTTGGAGTAGCAGGAAAAATTTCAGAAAACCTGCATATCTCTGTTCAATTTTCTGTGAGGTGTGACCCTGTTCGGGTTTATGTTGCAGTAATTGCGTGTTTTGATAACCTTTTCTTGATTTTCAGTGGGATGTCGTTGACATTGTAATTTCCTGTTTGGCTGATCAGTAAATTTTGATGCTCTGGGTGATAAGCGGCTTCAAGTGAGTTCTTGATGTAGTCTTGGATATTAGCTGTATATTGCGTAGAGTTCGCGGATTTGCATGTCATATGGTTTGTTCAGAATGATGCGCAGAAATTTATTTTGCATCTTTTGCATCTTGCTGATGTGTGTCTTGGCTGCTGCAGCCCACATTTGGTGGCCATATGTGATTATTGACTTGACGCATGATTTGTATAAGTTTACTTTTATCCCGGTTTTGAGTTTGCTATTTCTTGACAGAAGTGGACACAATCTGTTAAGAACAGGGTAAGCTAGGTTTGTTCTTTTTGTTATTGCAGAAGCCCGTATGATTTTTGCTTCTATGCCAAGGTATTTGACCGTGGATATCCAAGGGATGTTTTGACCTGTTATGACAACTTAATCAATAGGCTTGAGAATCCTATTAGTGAAGATGATAAAGTTTCCATTTATGGAAGTATTCTTGAAGCTTGTCAAGGTGGGCTTGAATGTATTTTGTTGCATTTCTGAGGGACCATGAGGAGGCAAAGATAGCAGTGTCATCGGCATAAACTGCTAAGTGGGAATTTGGGGTGCTTGGGATGTCGTTTATGTAAAGGATACTCCTGCAGTGATACTTTTAGTGGTTGAGGGAATACCTCGATTCATTGAGATATAGAATTTTCTATTTTTTAAGTAATTGGCTATTATGTTGATGAGCGGAGTGTTTATTCTCTGTAGTTTGATTAAGAAGGCATTGTGCCAGACCGAGGTAGGTCGAAGGCTTTTTCGAGGTCTCAAAGGATAAGTTGTGTTGATCTATTTTTGTTTTATGACATGTTTCATGACACATGTAGCTGTTGGATGCAGAAGTGTTTTATCCTGAAGCCAAACAATTGTGATTATATTGTTGTGTTTGATATAAGATAGTAGATGGATGATTTTTTTCGAATATCTTGCTAATATTGCTTAGGAGGCTGATTGGCCAATAACTGTAGCGGGTTTTCCCTGCTTCAGGATTGAGATTATTTTGGCGGTTTCCTTACGTCATAGGAAAATGGAGATTTTGTCCGGTCTAAGAGCTTTGTTGTTGGGGAGTTTCTTGATTAGGTTTTTTATCTACTGAAGGGTGCATTTCAGCGTGCTGTTGTGTGTAGAGAGGATGTTACTAAACTTTCGTGTTCGATGGGAAAGGGTATATTCCATGCGGTATTATGAATTTTTTCGAAATTTTCAGCAAGACTTTCTGCTTTCTCTTTGCTGTGTAGCAAAGGGTATTGCGGGCAATTTATAATATTGGTATTTTATTAAATTATTGTATTAAATATAAATACTAATGTATGAATTATAAATCTGAAAATCTGATTCAGAAGTAATTTGTGAAAAATAGGATGAAGATTGTATCACATAAGTATTTCAATTTCGTTTATTATGGAAAATACAATACTTCAGTTTTTACAAGTTGATTCATTGGAAAAAAATATTTTTGCCAGTGGAATGGATAGTTTTAGCTATTTTCTAATATTAATTTCTAATATTAATGTTTCATTATTAACATTTTGTTAATGTCGTGAAGATGTGTAATCATGGATGAATATTTTTATTTTTAATTTTTTTTTTTTTTCAGATAATTGGATTGTGATTCATGATCATATTTATTTTTATTTTATGAAAGTCCTTGAACATGTAATATATTTTTTACTTCATTCTCCATTCCTTCATTTCCTTCCAATTAAATCAAGGAATCTCCACATAAATGATATTTAAGAATTTATTTAAAAAGAATATCTAATCTTGAAATTTCCATTTTATAATTTTCGGAGCTACTTGTCCGCATTTTGTTTTTCGTTTCATTAAATTTACGATATTGTGATCTCAAAGATTCTTAACATACTTTCGCATCTATAAATAAAAAAGACAAATGATATTAAATTTCATAAATCTACATCTAAAATTATTAACAATATAAAAATAGTAACATTAAATACATAAATTTCAGCAACAGGAGCTTCATACTAAATAATTCATGTCAAAACATCCAGCTATTGTTACTGTATCATATAAAAAATTGTTCTAGAAATGTGTTAAGCAATTAATGATGAATTGATTAGCTGCATTTATTCAAACCCTGCAAAATTGGATAAAAATTGCGATAGATATATGCGTTACGTGGAATTTCCGGAATTGTCTAAAAACCATCGATCGACAGTTAATTATAATAAGTATTCATAACAAACAATGGATTGTTCTGTTATAATTATAAAAAATTTTTTCGTCGTATTATTGGCCCTCGTAAATATAAACTATCGATAGATTTATAGATATATAACGTAAATATAAACTATCGATGGATTTATAGATATCGACACAGGGTCTTATAGCAAGAAGGCAACAGCCTGCGATGGCGACATTTTTGCCAATTTTAAATTTATGTAAAAATAAAAAATTAAATATTTCTGTAAATCGTGCTCGTAATACGTTATGCACTCGAAAACACATTTCCATTAAAAAAATATTTGATGAGACCATTCTAGTATGATATTGAGAAATATATTTTTAATTATCATGAAGATTAGTTGAATGTACGTTTGAGATTTTATTCCATAATTCTATGAACATTTTATTTGAAAATATGTATAATAATTAACTACATTAAAATTCCATTGAATTTACATACATATATATGGATACCCATATAAAAATTTAAAATAATTATATAAACATATTACAACATAAACATTATACAAGATATCCTATAATTGATAATACAATCGTATAACTGTGTAAGAAGTGATTTTACATGAAAAAATAAGTTAAAAAGAAAGAATAACATTTTTTTATTTAAGATTTCATTCTCAAAAAAATCAAGTTTGAAAATTTATCAAGTATATTTATTCTTAAATTTGGCTATATCTATACTAAATATGAATAAATAATAAGTAGTTATTTTATTTGCTAAAATAAGTAAAAAGTGTAGAATAAAATTTTTTCGTTTAAGACCTTATTTTTATGGAAATAAAACTTAAAACATATTTAGTTAAGAATTGGCTTAATAATCATATTTGATAAATTTTGAATTTAATTTTCTCAAGAACGAAGCACCTTATAAAAATATTTTATACTTTTGACTTATTTTCATAAATAAAATATCTTGTCGACTATTTATTCTTATCTAGTTCAGAATTAGTTCAAAAATATAAGTATACTTGAAAAATTTTCAAACTTTCTCGAAGACAAAAAAAAATAAAATAAAAAATTTTATTCTTTGTTTTCAATTTATTTTTAGAAGCATCATCTAATCTAAATGATTATACCAATTATGAAATACCTTGTATATTATATACATATACATATCTTTTTTCCCGAAACATCAGCACTTTTCTTTAATATTCATTTTATCACGAAAACTCTCGGGTAACTCGAGTGTGAATCGAGAAATACATTCATATCATTAATTTAGTTTCGATTTAATAAAATATACAAGAATTATTGCTAGACCGCGACTTCAATGATGTAAATACATACATTTTAAATAATTAAATTTAATATTATTTAATCGAACTAAGAGTGAATCATGTGTATGTATGGAGCTTTAAGTTTCCTTCGGACCTTTCTGCTTGCGAATTATATAATAAACATGCTTGCACTTCATTAGAATTAGCATCTCCTCCAAATTATTAGTAAATATTACTAATAATTTAATATTCATCTCAATTCAAATATTAAATTTCATTTTGAATTTTGATTTCAGAATATATTAAAACTTTCAATCCAAGGAGATTCTTCTACATCTCATACTGAAAAAAATTAATCCCCGAGTCTTTCGAAGCTTCAGAAATGCGATCGAACTATTGTCAGTTTTAATAATCTTTTATACCATATTGTAATATCCAAGAAGCAAAACTTTTGATCCATTAGTAATACTTTTACAATGTTGTTGATTATGGTATGAGTATCGACTAAAACAAATTATCACTGCTAAAAAAGTTTCAATAAAACATTAATATTAAATAATATAATAATATATAAAGTATTCAAATATTTTTGTGAGTAACATACTGTATTGTATATATACATATCATAAATATTGTATATATACATATTAATTTTATCACAATAGGTAAACAACAAAAACATAATGTTTAATTTACCATCAACTTTAATTTTATTTATGCTACATTATGTAATTAATGTGTAGCAATAATTGCTGTTTGTTCTTCTTCTTCTTCTTCTTCTTTTATTTCTTCATTATTACTTTTGATGTAGTCCTGATAGTTAATTTTAAAAGATTCTTTAGAAAGTTCACTCTTAATTTGAACTCTACAACATTTAAAAATATTTATATTATTGTGATATTTCATTTTATTATCTTAGAAAAATTACATAAATATACGTACCTTTCAATAAATAATCCATCACGTTTTGGTCTCATTGATTCAACATCACTGATTAATGAAGAAAAGTTTTCTTCTAGTTCTTTTATGTCCATATCAAGCTAATAAATAAATTAACAAATTATATACTTGGTACAAATTATAAATAAACAAATTATAAACTTTACAATATTATATATAAATTTACCAAGCCAAAAGTCGTATTAATTTCGCCATATTCTTTAAAAGTTTTATGAGGTTGTGCAGTGTACAGAATTCCATTTTTGAATTTTTTAACTAATTGATTCATATTATTACCCAAAGTACCTGAAATATTTAAATTACTAAATATTTAAATGTCATAATCGTATATAAATATTATTGTAAATAAAAATTTATGTTCAATGAATACGTTTATTTACCTAATTTAATATTTGGAAATTTCTTTTTCAATAATCCCCTAATTAATAACATATCAGATAAAATATCTGCATGAGCTACGACATAATCGTACTCTTTGAAATTAAATGACCCATTCTATAATTACAGATTTGTACTTAAATTTATATTTATGTTTTATAATATAATTATAATATATCAATTTTATAATTAATGTATGATATTTCAACTTACTTGAATCTTTCTTATCAATTCAATACCACCAATATAATCAGCTCCGGCATTTCTGGCATTTTCTTGTTCTTGTAAATTTTTGGAAAAGGCTAATACAGTTCTATTATTTTCCACACATGTAAATATATGTGGCGTATCAATAACTTTCATAAATTTATCAACATACTTATTCTTCTTTTCACGCTATTTTGAATAATTTTAAAAATATTCTTATTAGAAAAAATTTTTTAATTTATTGTAATATTTGTGAAAGTGTTTAATATAATACGTGTAAATAAACTGTTTAAGTTCAAATAAATAGATTCAACCAACATTTAACAATCGAGTATTAAAATTTGGTTCAAATAAATAAAATTTATATAAACAAAGTTTTATTATACTTTAAAATTTTTTACCCTCATATTTAATTCTATAAATGCATTAACAATTGCATTAGGTTTATTAAGCATAGTTGGATGATGTGTTTCACGATGATTTTCTATAGCCTCTTTTAAAGAATAAACTGGTTGTGGGTGATATTTTATTATATATACATTATCGATTGCTTTCCATTTCCAATTTTCATTAATGATATTTAGTGGACAAACTTCTGCCTTTATCCTATTATTAAATTATTATTGAAATACTTGATATTTTAAATAATAATATATACTCTAATAAGAAATTAACAAAAACTTAATGCTATAAATCACTCACTCTTTTTTCTTTCTATGTGGGACATATCCTATTTGCTCAATTACTGTCTTAACTTTTTTCTTTTTGAGTTTTAATCTTCTTTTTTCTCTTGTTCCTTTCCTAGCTGCATAATCTCGACTTTGCATAAACATATATGAGCCTATATTATATCCAACATTGTGGTTATATGTAGTACGGAAACTTTTTATTAACCAGTCTGTAAATATCAAATCAAAATGATTAAAAATAAAATTATATCAATGAAATCATATTAATTTAGAAAGAAATATAAAAGTTACTTACTTGCTATCATGATTGTACATAAAGTAAATCTAAACAGGTTAAGACAATTGCCAAAGACGATTACCAAATGAAATAGGAAAATATCCTAGGGATATTATATTTTCAAGCATTCAATATAAATAAAAATCACTAATAACGCGTTTAAATTATAATGTGTATTTTCTCTATAAATATAATGTTAGTACATCAAAATTGTGTTTATTTCTAAATATACATCAAAATAATTATTCATAATTATTCATTGTAATCGCAAAATATAATAAATTTACTTAGAAAATTAAATAAAAGTAATTTATAATGTTAATGTACATGTATAAAACAATAGGTTACAAAAGTGAAAATTTAAAATAATTATTACGTGCACTGACAGTGCGTTCATGAAACAGTACTATATAGACAACATGGCAGACGGAAGTAGACGTCATCAGTGCCAACTGTCAGCCAACTAGGCTTTTAGTTAAAGCTGTGCTTTCTATAGCAAGAAAAACTCTTTTTCTCCATCTTTTACAGCTTCATATATTTCGTACAGATTTCAGAGGCCAAGGAACAGATTTTATGTAATTATACTATGCGCACGGTTTTTTGACTTGTCTGCAATTTTGCATTTAATGGTGGTGAACAAAACATTTATCAGCACGCGAGATCCTGGTAAGTCTATCGCATTTCAATTGTGATCATCCATCGATTATATTCTAAATGTTATTCTTCATTTCAATATAATAAATGGTACCGATGTAACATTTTTTTGACCATTTATAACTACTTATAGATATTGTTATTTATATTTAATTAAATCTTTTCTTACAATGTAAATATATCTTAAATTAAATCAAGCCTATAATGAATCTAAAAGGTGGTTTCTATTATGCATTGCAATTACTTACAGATGATAATCTTGTTAACTCATCATTGTTGCAGAGTCATTCAATACTTAGTACATAATAAACCTGACATTCATATCTACAAATATGTTCATTTGGGACTGGTTTGCAGGAGTTTTAAATTACCTTGGTAAGTGTAATTTTTATAATTTTTCATATATATATTGTAATAGATATGTATAATACAGATATAAAGTACATTAAGATATATGTAATTTGACTTCATTTTATTCTTACTAATATATTATTTTTAATATATTAATTGTTTTTATTAATATATTACATCTTGTAATACATTCTTATCAATACATTTAAAGTTTCTTATATGATTTTTATGATATGTTACATCTATGTCTTTTATAATAATATACATCTATAATATATTCTTATTAATATATTTAAATTTGTTTTTTTTTTGTATATTGTATGATTTTTATTTTTAATTTTTAGGTCTTTGGAAAAAGAGTGGTAAACTCTTGTTTCTTGGTTTAGATAATGCAGGCAAAACCACATTACTTCACATGCTCAAAGATGATCGATTAGCTCAACATGTACCTACATTACACCCAAGTAATTACATACTGTTCAGAATAATTTATATTCACATATAGTTTTATATAATTATTTTATTTAATATATACTAGATACTAAATGTTAGATATATTAGATATATATTCATATATACTAATTACTAGTAAATTAAAGTAACCAGATATTTTATAGTTTATTAATTATATTTAATTATATGCTTTTATGCTTTAGCATCAGAAGAACTCTCTATTGGAAATATGAGGTTCACAACATTTGATCTTGGAGGACATCCTCAAGGTATAGTTAATTGATTTATTAAAATTTTATAATATTATTTTTATTGAAATATGACATTCTTTTTTATAGCTCGAAGAGTTTGGAAAGATTATTTTCCTGCAGTGGATGCAATAGTATTCCTTGTTGATGCAAGTGACAGATCACGATTACCAGAATCAAAAGCTGAATTTGATGCACTTTTAACTGATGAACAACTTAGTGCATGTCCAGTTTTAGTGCTAGGTAATAAAATTGATAAACCAGGTGCAGCATCAGAGGATGAACTTAGAAATTATTTCAATCTTTATGGTCAAACAACAGGAAAGGTATGTATAATAGACAGTTACATTTTATTTAAAACAAACTAATTTATATATGAGTTTAAAATAATATATGAATTCTAGGGAAAAATTTCTCGCAATGAAATACCTGGTCGTCCATTGGAATTATTTATGTGTTCAGTACTGAAAAGACAAGGGTATGGTGAAGGTTTCCGCTGGCTTGCTCAGTACATTGATTGAATGCATACAGTAATTTAAATACTCAGATTTGTGGCAGTTTATTTACATTTTCCTTTCCTGTAATTCATATTGGATATTAGTACGGAAGTGTATTATCCTTTATGTGAAGCAGTAAGAAAGGAATATTAATACATAAACTGCAATAACAGATTCAGAACAGTGCAAATAAGTTTAAAAAGAAAAACATCTTAAAAGTATAATATGACGAACGTGATAGAACTAACTTCTTATTTTAATACATAAAGTCTATAAGCTATATAAATTTTTTTAATTTCATACAAATTCTGTAAATTTTCGTCATTTTGCAAATTATATTATGAAAACACCTGACATAATAAAAATAAACATTTTGATAAATAAAGTAATAAATTATTCAAGAATTTTGTTTCTCAAAATTATTTTTCATAATGTAAATGTTTTAATTACATAAAAAATATTTTAAGCACATTTTTGAAATTAAAAAAGTATGATAAATGTATTTGGTTTGGTTTTTCTGTTTTACTTCAATAGTAAGAATATGAATAAAGAAAGAAGTGATATACTTGTTTAACATATTGTTATTTCTTCAAATCATTTTTCCTTTTTCATATTTTTTTTTCTTTTTAATAAAATGCAATAATTACTTAGAAAAAAGATTGAAAACAGGTACATTTTATTATAAAATTATCAATATATTTCAATGATAATTTTTATAATACATTTTATTATAAAATTATCAATATATTTCAATAATTTTCTGAGATATTATTAATGTCTTGTAAAATATCATGACTCTTCCTCAATTACATAAAAATTATATAAATGTTTGTATAAACTTGTTTAAAATAAAGTAAAAAAGAATCTAGAAATAAAATTTTAATGTCTTAACATGGTAGTTATACGTAGTTATACTTATATTTTGTTCATTATTTTTTGTAAAGAAGGTATGTTGTTTTATATTGTATATAATCTTCATTTGTTGCATTATTTTCTTAATATTGTAATTAACTTTAAAGTTGCAATTCTTTTTCTTCTAAAAGTTTTGTAAACTGTTGATTTACATAAGTATCTGTTACTTCTTCTAGACTGTTAGGATTCCATATTGGTTTTTGATCTTTATCAATTAAAAGAGCTCTTACACCTGTGGTAATGATAATAATGATAATAATAACTGAACTTCATAATATATTTGCATGAAATAAAATTGTTTTGAATAAGAGAATAAATATGCATTTATACATACCTTCACAAAAATCGCTTGTTTTGCTTAAAGCAGCACATGCTAATCTATATTCCATTTTTAAACAGTCTGCTAAATTTAATGTACTTCCTTTTTGAATGGCGAACATAGTAACTTTTAGAGAAGTGGGAGATGCTTTTAATAACATTTTCAATGTTTTTTTTGCCCATTCTGAATTATCCTTTTTTAGGCTTCATTAAAATATAACATTTATTCAATATATAAAAATAATATTTTAATTCTATGTAGTCTAACTATTGTTATAATCACTTTACCTCTCTATTATTTCTTCTACAGATAATGAAGAAAAATATGTATTAATTTTATTCATATATGGTGCTAAACAGAATTCTTCATTCCACGTTGCAGATTGATATTTGTTTAAGATTTCCGCAACATTAGATTGTTCAGTCATTAGTAAATCTTGCTTTAAATTTGGTAACTTTTCAGAAGTAACAAAATGTGTTGCAATACCAGCAAGTAGTACATCAATGCCTTTTAATATGATATATGTGACAAAAGCACTTAATATACAAATTATTAAATTCAGTAATTTTTTATACCTTTTAAACGATCTCCAGTTAATCCGAGGTAAAGACCCAATTTACCCTTCAATCTAGGTAAAAAATAAGTTCCACCAACATCAGGAAATAATCCAATTGCTGTTTCTGGCATTGCAAACAATGTTTTTTCTGTTGCAATCCGATATTTACCATGAACAGATAATCCAACACCACCTCCCATAGTTATTCCATTTATTATAGCCACATATGGTATTTTACATGTACCAATGAGGTAATTTAAACTGTATTCAATATATGTCAAAATTTCATTATTAAAATAAAACACTGGTACAAAAATGTGTTATTTAAATTATTTTGTAACTTACCTATATTCCTTTCTGAAAAATGTTTCACCTAAGATTTTATTTTCAGTTTCTTTTAATGTATTAACAATAGATTTTACATCACCACCTGCACAAAATGCTTTTTCTCCTGCACCTTCTATTATTACTAATCTTTTAGATGATTCCCATTTCTTAAGTATTGGATATATTTTTTCAACCATTGACAAATTTAGGGCGTTCAGTGCTTTAGGGCGATTTAATATAATAATACCTTTGTCCCCTATCTTATTTTAAAAAAAGATATTTAATTTAATTAAAAAAAGATATCATAAATATTTAATACATATATATTATTTACTGTAAGTATACATACGTCTTTAAACAAGACATCATCTTGTGTAATGGCTTGTATTTTGTTGCCTGTAATTGTATTTTTATTAGGTATTGGAATTTCAATAGGTGATTTAGGATCTGAGTGAGGTTCAGATTGAGGTTGTGATTGAGGAAGTGTAGGTTCAACAATAGGACCTAAATTGTAAAAATGTAAAAGTTTATATAAAAATAATTGTAATTCATTTAAAAATATGTAATTCATAAGTTAATTTATTATTAATATTTTGAATTAGTTAATATATTGAAATTCATATATTTATTTTATTTTTAACTGTATAAATCAAATTTTTATTAGAACTTAATAATATTATTATAATTATATACTTAAAATATATTTGTTTTTGAAACCTGGTATTTCTACTATAGGGTTTGGATATGGTGTTGATGGCGTTGTTTCAGGTGGTAATATAACAGGTTTTGGAGTTTGATTGTTAAATTTTAAACCCTTGTCCTTACCTGTGTCTAAAGCTTGTGTTGATAAATACCTGAAGATATTAAATGAATTACCATTTAAGCAATTTAGTTTCAATGTACCATTTTTTATCTAAAAGAAAATATACACATATTAATCCGACATTCTATTGCATAATTATAAATAAATAAATGATTACCATTTTGGCTATTTATTTTATTTATTTTATAGTTGACTATTTTATTTTATATAATTACTTATTTTTATAATTATTTACTTTATATAAATTAATAATAAAATACAAAGATAGTACAATGTAAAGTATTATGATACAGACATATTTGGTATATTAAAAGATATTTAATTATATAGGTTATGAAATATCTTCAAATTAGTTGATATTCTTTTTTGTTGCGTCATGCGTAATGAAGTAATATACATCATCCGTTGAGATGTCATATAATAAGCGTAAAAATGTAAAATACAAGTTACATCAATATATTTCTTAACATATCTATTAATTTAAAGACATATCATATTGTTATGTTGCATGTATATCACTTATTAAGTATATACATATGAGAAATATCAATATAAAATAAAATTTATAAAATAATAATAAATAATAATTAATAATATAAATATTAAAGTCAAAAAATGATACTTAGCACATAAGAAATATTTTTAAATATTTTATAATTTTATTTGAAAAACGCGATCAATATAATTGTATATAAATAAGTTTATGTAATAGGTATATCATATAAGTGCATCCAATTTTTTTTTATCTCAATATATTTTCATAATTCTTAAGAATAACGCAACAGAGGCATTTGCATATCTAACGGGAATTAATATTATATTTTCGCGCTAATACAGATTGCGAAATATTTACGAGCAAAATAGTACCAACATATTACAATCGTTGTAGAAGTAAAACAGTACCAACATATCTACAATCGTAGTAGAAGCATAACCTCTTATCTATCCTGAGATATTTTGAAAATACCGTAAAAACAGTAATCGTTATAATGTTTAAATATTCCAATTTATTTGGTGGATGTGCAAAGATCATACAGAAGAGTAATGCTCGTTTTATTAGTTTTCGAAGCATAAAAAAACTTTATTCAATGTATTTCAACAAAACAATCGAAACTGCAAAACCTCCTTACGATTTCATTTGTCAAGTTGGTAACCCTATCTTGCGACAGAAAGCGTCACTTATCGATATAAAGGAAATACAAACAGTAGAATTTCAAAAGGTATGTCTTTGTTGTTATCTATATTTTTAAATAATTATTGTATTTATTCTAAAAGTCTACAATGATACAATTTTTTTTTGTGCAAAACCTCCTTCACTGATTTCGATAATTTTTGAATATATTGTAAAAGTTGACATTTGCAACAAATTTGTTCTCTTACAAAAAAGTTGGACTTTTTTAATTACCAGAATATATGTAAAAAACTGTCGGTTTTTCTCATATGCATATTTCTCAATGATTTTTGAATATGTTATAGAAATCAACATTTGGAACAACTTTTTTCTTTTACAAAAATGTCAGATTCTATTTCCAATATATTTATAAAAAATTAACAGTTTTTGAATCTTGAATCGTATATCGGCATTCGGCATTTGTCTTATACTTAATGCAGTTATTCTTCTCTTTGTATCATAAATACTTTACAAATGTAAATAAACAATTCCTAGGAAAATTCCATACATATTATAAAACAAAAGTAATTTTCACAAAATTTTTTACTCAGTTTATAGTGTTTGAAATATATTTGTTCAAAAAATAACTATTTTACGCAAGCGATGCCGATTATCCCGCAGCGGCTTGAAAACTCTAACTTACAACCAAAATATATATCTATTATATCATATATCAATATATGATATCTATTGTTAATTGAGTTATAATAAACATTTTTTCACAACAATCTCGCTGTTGTGTAGATCACTTTACCTAGCAGGGTAAACCAACTAAATGGGATCATTTAAATATCTTCGTTATTTTTTGTTGTACAAAAAAACTTCTGAAAACAAAGTTGCACTATTTTAAAAGACAAATGTAATACTGGAAATATTTTTTTTCAATGATCATTTATTTACGGGATCTCAAAGTCATCGTTATTTTTTTGTGACTAACTTATATTTATTTTTAACTTACATTTATTCTTATAAAACGTAAAAAAAGCTAATTCAAAGAAAGATAGAACCTTTCAATCATTTATTTTTGAGATATTTGCATCTAAATGTAATTAGACTTTTGCATCTCGAATCATTTAGCACATTGATTCGTACATTCGAATGCATACTTTCGTTAGCTTGGGTAAAAATAAGTTTAGGTTATATAATTGTATCCGGCCACCGTAAGATAGTCACTAGATGAACACATGCGCTACCAACACGCATAATTGTAAAAACAGTTCATTGTGTGGTGACGGTAGTTTTTTGTAAATATCTCAAAAACTAAGAAAATTCAATTTTATAAGAGGAAAAAGTGGTGATTTCTACATATTTAAAAAATGTCAAAGTTGATAGAATGTTCTTTTTATAAGTTGACTCATTTTTTAATATATCAATTAAATATTTGAAATTAATTTGCATTTATTTATTTACTTGTTAATAAAAGAAAATTATTATAGAAAAGTATAAACTTTATTTCATAGGACCAAAAATTTTGTCGTTTGGTAGTGTTCCACCTGTTAAAAATATGTTTTAGATTAAAATTCACTGGTTCAAAAATTATGTATTTTTAGTATACTTTTTGTCATTTTGGTTTCATTTCTGTGTTATCAATATAGCATTATCTTTTAATATTACATATCATATTTTATAAATCGTG